TTATTAACCCCTGTGTTACATAGGACCCCTTCCTACTAATAGTCAGGTCTAGAACAATTTGTGTAATTTGTCTTTAATATTTTATGCAATATCTCTCTCCTCCCCCCACTCTCTCTCTCTCTCTCTCTCTCTCTCTCTTCCTCTCACTTCCCCCCTCCCCCTCGCTCTCTAGGTTTTAATGAAAGATATTGCTNCATTCAGTTTTTGTAATGCCGCACTTTTGAAAATGATCAGACAGCCAAGGTCATCTGACATTTGAGGAAAGCATTTGCTATGAAAGACAGAGCCCAAAACCAGTAAATACTTAAAAAGCAATTTGGAAAACAACAAACATTGTATGGGAAGAAGAAAATGGGGGAGGAAGGGGTGGTGAGAATCTATTACTGATATTCTTCGAGAAGTTTGAGAAGATAGAGCATGTATAAAACAAAACCAAGATGTTGAAAAAATGGAAGGAAGGAAGGAAGGAAGAGAGGGAGGGAGAAAAGGAGAGAGGGAGGGAGGGAGGAAAAAAGGCTGGACGTTCTAGTTTCTTCTACCCAGAGTGGAAACCTTCTAATTCATGGACCTCAGGTAGAATACTCAGCGAGTTCTGCCTCAGTGGTGGCAAAAAAATGATCCCTAGAAGAAACAGTGTCATGGTCTCTACTACTGAGGGTTTTAATCAAGATTCAAATGAATCAAGCTGTTTTCAAGTAATTTAACTGCATTCTAAAATAAAGTGCAAGAATATTGAAAGGAATACAAAAGTATTCAGCCATCAGTAAGGTATAATAACAATGCCTAGCATCCAGTAAAAAATTCCCGGGCATACAAAGAAACAGTAAAATATGACCAATGAAGAGAATAAAACCAACCCAAAAAAGTGAAAATGACACAAAAGATAGAATTTATAAACAATGGTGTTAAAATAATATTATTACTATATGTCATAGGTTCAACCTATTAAGGGCATGTATGGAAGACTTACAACTAACATCATCCTTAATAGTGAAAGACTGAATGTTTTTCACCATAAAAACAAGGCAAGGATGTCTGCTACTTCTGTTCAGAATTGTACTGGGTGTTCTAGCCAGTGCATTGAGGCAGGAAAAGAAAGACATCCACTGGAAAATAAGTAAAATTGTCTTTATTCACCATCCATGTAGAAATTCTATAGAAGCTGGGAAAAAAAATCTCCTAATTAGTAAGTTTAGAAAAGTTGCAGGATCCTAAATATATAAATATCAATTTATTTCTATATAATAGCAACAAACAATCTGAAATTGGAATTTAAAAACAATACCATTTACAATAGTAACAAAAATTATTAAATACATAGGGTTCAATTTGACAAACGATGTGTAAAACCTGTACACTGAAAAGTGCAAAGTCTTGTTGAGAAAAACTAAGAAAAACCCAATTAGTTTATAAATTCAATGCTATCTTAATCAAAATCCCAGTAGGGTTTGTAGAAATTGGCAACCTGATTCTAAAATCAGTATGGAAATGCAAAGAACTTACCATAGCCAAAATAACTTCAAAAAGAATAATAACATTGGAATGCTAATGCTACCTAATTTCAAAACTCATAAAGCTACAGTAAGCAAGATAGTGTGGTGTGGTCAATCCAGAAGTAGTCTCACACACATATGATCAA